AGGAAGAGCAGACCGGGACAGATCCACAAGAAGTCCAGGCATAGGAGGTGCCAGAGGAAGAGGAGCAAGGAGAGGACTTGCCCGAGTGCGTGGATCATCATCCTAGTTTGTTCGAACGAGGCAAGCCCCGGAGCATTATAAGTCTCCTACTTTATAAAAGCAATTCTTTCTATATATATGAGTTTATATATTGTTGCATTAAGTTGTAGGAGTTGATTGAAACCGTTGATGCATTTATTACTATCCTTGCCTACCTTATTACCTTTTACCCTGTTAGGTCATTATCGAATAACTACTTAGCCTTGCTTAGACCGGTAGCGATCGGTGATATCCGGTCACCTACATTATAGGTGGTTACTGGAAGAATTTAGCTATGGAAAGAATGATATCTTGGAATTAACCATGTGTGATGAATAATTAGAGACCGGACGGAAAAAGTTGGAGGCAACCAGACAGGGTTCTGGGATGCTGTTAGTTTCCGTCTGTGTCGATTAAGGACCGATCGTTGCTCGTCCCTCTTGTCATGTTGAATGCATGCCTCACATTTAGCTGGCCGAATAAAGTACCTTTCGACCACGAAGCTAGTGACACTATTTCGAGTCGGGATAAACTCGGATGCGCAGACTGGTGCTGAAGAGGGTATGACGGGGACGCGAAGAGTGAGTCCAAGGTGCGTCCTGGCAGTCGGGCGGTCCCTGGGTAGTGCGGTCCATGACTGTTATCCCACGGCTACTTGGAAAGTGTCATTGGTGATCTAAGCGACCCTAACGGGGGAAGCGTGGTTTGTGTGAGGAATAAATCACCAGCTGGTTAGGAATCGATTCAAATCGCCATCGCTCCTGGATAGTGAGCACTTGACTCGAGCTACGGCATCGTAGTAATTATGATGGAACAATGATGGTTATCTGGATGATATGGGATATGCTAAATCTAAGTTGATAACTGGATATTATTGGTTAATCAAGTGATTGCTATAGTATAGGTGCTTACCTAGATGGATAGGTCATAACAAAGATGACGCAAAGTACTTAAAATGGTTTCTTCATGATAGCTTATGCTTTTCGCAAACGAGTCAGCTAGCCTACTAAAGAAAGCCTTGCATAATCCTTGGTGTCACTTTATTTCTGGTTTACGACGGGTAAGTCTGGCTGAGTACATTCGAGTACTCAGGGTTTATCCCACCATGTTGCAGGTGAAGTTCTTGGCCTGTTGAAGATGGTGGCTAACCGCCGATGGGCTCGATGATTCTATAGTTACTTCTCATCTATATGCTTTTGTCGGATGATGTCACTTATGCTAGCAATGTATTTGGAGCATATATTAATGTAATCTTTTGAAAGCTATGTTGTTTTCACTAATCGGTTTTGAAACCCAAACTTGTACTATTATTTGTGAACCCATTTGTAATATTATTTTCCGCTGCAACCCTGCGTATGTGATGTGTATTTGCTTAATCACGCGATCTTGGTTGTGATGTTGATTTACCGAGGTCTTTCGGGACACTCGGCGGACTACCGGGTTTATATGAGTGAAAGTATGCGCGTGTCAACGTGTTAGCGGGGATAGCCGTACTTGATCTTGTATAAATTGGGCGGTTCTGTCACAATAGGGGTGGATTCTAAATCCATGGTAAAAAGGAAAAGAAAAGGTAAAAGAGATAAAAGATAAAAGAATAATGATACAAAGTTAAGCTAGGTTCAAAGTTAACTTAGCAACCATATTCCCCGGCAACGATGCCAGAAATGCTTGTTGGTATAAATTAATGCACACAGAATAATCTGCAAGCGCACATATATTATACTAATGTAGCACTTCACTGGGAGTACCCAGTTTTATATCGAGCTCGAGGAAACATGTGTGAGAATAACCAAATCTAACTTAACCCAACTTCATAATCAAGGCTAGATAATAGGAGCGTAGAGGAGATTGTTAAGGTCTTTTAATTCTAACTTTGCTAAGCTTTGTCTTTTATTGTTTAATTCTGGGATATTACTAGAGAAAACATAGGCAGAGTATGTTTCCTATAGCAACAATGTCCTGCTAGACCTACTAACGGGAGATGGACTACAAAGGATTCAACGAGGCTATAAGAGTCACCCTCACGAGCTACCACCGATCCAGAAAGTAGGGCACATCCACGAGTAACCGAGTCTAAGAACCATGCTTACACTACGAATACTACTTTAACCCAGGAGCTACAAGGATTAAAGTACTCAAAAGAGAGTCGCAAACCTGAAGAACAATATGAACAAGATGCTTACTTGAATTAGAAGTCGATTACCAGAGAAATCTCATAAACAAGCTCAATAAGAACTTAATTCCACCAGGGTACAAGCCATAGAGAGAGCACCTACTGGTCGGGACTCCTCCGAAACTCTTCCCTCTCACTCTATCTCTCTATCTCTATTACAAGACTAGATCCTACGAGGACTAATCTTCTCTTGATTGCTAGCTCTGATTCTGGTGGAAATATGGATCAGGGTTTCTGGCCCTCAGCCTCTCAGAATCTAACTTGGCATGCCCTGGGGGTGCAGGTAGGTATATAGGCCAGAGCATCAATCCTGAGCCTTTGGATCAAATCGACTTAAATAAACAGCGGAGATGCAATCCTTAAGGCGGTGGAGAACTAACATAGCAATGAGGGGCTGCTAGGTGGGTCCCATAGACCGGCCGACTTACATGTGGGATCGGCCGGACCCACCTGGTAGGGGCTCGGGCTCCGCTTCGGTGGAGAGCCTCCTGGAGTCTTCTAGAGTCTTCCCACGTTGTTTATCCTATGGAATTACGCGATTTTCTTTGACGAATAGGTCCTCCTTGGTGATTTTCTAATTAAATCCTGCTGTAAACACAGATTCACCAAAACCCATGGAATTTGTCAGTTAAAACCTCTAAGTCTATGTTGGTGATCCATTTTAGTCATTTATGTAAGGTATATTGATGGTTTGTGATTGATGTTAACTACCGTCAACAACAACAAAAACCAATATAGGTTATAATTCACACCAACACAACAAAAAACCAATATAGGTTTCAAGAGTGTTGACAAAGCTCGACATCGTGAACCAACTGAAGAATATTATTACAAAATATATATTAGTTACAAATGATCATGTTGACATTAATCTCCAAAACTGAAAGAGGGGCCTAAATGCTTTCAAGAGTTCCATTGGGGTTAGATTCTGGGTTACCAGTAGGAGAAAAAGAGGCCACCAGGGATGGAAGGATGATGACCACCTAAGGTAATGGTGTGCAGCTCTAGTGACCTAGTGGGCAGGAGGTGAGACGGCGAGGGTGTTATCTGATAGGTGGCGGGAGGTGCCGGCAATAGGGAGGCATAGGGCAAATTAACATTTATGGAGAGGAAATAACTCTCGGATAGTGGTTTCTTTCATTTTAGGATCATGCATCAACTCGCAACGTGACAATGCCCATGCATTGCACACGTAGTGTAATTCGGTTATGAGCATCCTCCACCAGATTGAGTAAACCAATCCTCTTTCTCTATAACCAATAATAAAGGGGACCGAAACAAAAAAAAAAGCTCTAGCAGATTTCCTTTCCAAACCCCTTTCTCCATTTTTTTCTCAAACCCTCAAGATCCCACCTCAATCCCTTAAATAAAGGGGAACGGCCTAATTTTTCTCAACCCCCTTTCTTCCTCTTCCTTTCACCGACATCATGGGTCCACATGACTAAGCACGTGAGCAAGCACGTGGGTTGCCCCGCACCGTCGCGAGAATGCGGGCAAGCACATGGGCGAGCGTGCGGGCTGCCGCTCCACCACTATGTCACCAGGCGAGCGAGCGTGCTGGCCGTCACGTTGCCGCGCCCGTGCACCAAGAGAGAAGGAGGGAGAGGAAAGAGATAAGAGAAAAGGAGAGGTTTGCCATTGACATATAGATCCCACGTAAATAGAGGAGATGATTTTTTTCTCAATATGCTGCAGAAACCCTTTTCATATATCCTGCAATTGGTTTGTAGCTTTATGTGACCCTAGTAGCTCTACCTTTTCAATTCACCAATGCTCTCTTAAATCCCTAAGGATTTGTTTAGTCAACCCCTTCCCATCGGGGGATAGAGAGAATCAAAATGAATTAATTATACCCTTGTCCCTACTCTTACTCAATCTCCTCCAAACCGAACAAACTCTAGGTTGTTATTTGTAGATCGAAGATGATCTTAATAGTAGCTATTTGCTCATGGAAGAAATATTATTAGTTTTTCAATTAAGGGCTCGTTCGGTTAGCCTGAAATGAGCCTAGAAACTATTCCAGCTTGATCAAGTTTATACAAATTAGCTAAACATTCCGGATGGGAATCTTTCCAGAGAATGTTTCCCACGGTACCAAACGAGGCCTAAAACATGCTCAAACTTATTGGATTTCTTTTTTATATTTCTTTACTGTGTAAAGAGTTGAGCGGCTGCTACATCTACTACAGTAGCTATCGATGACAGTAGTTGTCAGTCGCTGTATGGATCATCTGTATTGAAAAATATTACTCCCTCTCGCCACAAGAACATATCGTTTAGGACAAGATTTGGTCGAATATAAAAAAACCTACAAACATCATCAATAGCTTTTCAATTTTATAGTTTGGAGACATGCATGATATATTTGCAGATTTGTATTGAAAAGCGCTTGCAGAATCTCATAAATTTAGAGGGTTTTAAAAATGCATTCTAGAATATGCTAACGATCAAAAGATATACATTAAAGACGTCAAATATATCTACTAGACTACTATGTACTTCTATGACTGGAGGTAGTGACAGTGTAGTATCTATCTAGAAGATAGATGCATGCTGCCACCTTAATAGGGCGAAACTATTATTTTGTCTACAGTCTGCACCTAAGTAAAACCTGCCACATTTATTTGTTGTATATCACAACGGATATAAATAAAAATCCTCTTATAAATGTACCCTCAAATTCAGTCTTATATCCCTCGTTCACTTCAAAACTCATTTCACCTCTCCCACTTCCTCTTCAGACAAGGCCATGGAGCCCCAGAAGGGTTATCTCCGTCGTATTGCGTTCTTTGTGTTTGAGATGTGGCTTGCAACCGTCTGTGCTCTGGTCATCTTATTTGCGCTCGCGAGCATTGGCAGGTCCTTGGACATGCTAGAGAAGAGCTACTACACCGAGATTGGAGTAGCTTCTCCAGGAGATAGTATCGAATCTCAAGATTCTGCTGAGGTGAAATTTGTGTTGACATTTTTTAATTCCCATCATATGGCCACTATTTTTCTTTCATTCTTCTGATGACCGTAAGAAGGAAGGAATATGGCACTTGTATTTCTCAGATGGTTAAATCCAAACATCTAACTTTGCTAAATGCTTAGATCTATATATCTTAAACCATCAATAATATACTCCTTCTGTCCCTAAATAAATAGATTCATAGAGTTGTCTTAACTCAATTTTTTTAAATTTGACTGAATTTTTAGAAAACCCCATCAAGATTTATGACATCAAACTAGTATCATTAGATATACTATAGAATATATTTTCATAATATGCTCATTTTATGTCATAGATGTTGTTACTCTTTTCTACAAAGTTAATCAAACTTAAGATAGTTTGATTTGCACAGATTCTAGAAATTGATTTATTCAGGGACGGGGGAGTATTGTTCTCAAATATATCTTTAACTATCATTAGTAGTAAGAATACAATCGGATATGGGCGGATATCGTTGATATTGAATTTGTTTTCATATTTTTATTCGGATTCGAATACAGATAGTATCAGATATGTCGGATAGGGTATGAATGGATATTGACATCATAAATATGTGATTTGAGTATTCGGATACGGATACGGTATCGGATGTTGAGTATCTAGACTCGGGTACGGACAAATCTGAACTCCTCTAAATGGATTCGGTCTCGAATACGGTCGGAAAATATTCGTACCATTTGCACCTAAGAAAATTCTGAAATAAATTCTAAATCGGAGGTTTTATTCTACATCCAGTGTAGAACGTGGAAAACTGTATTTCGCTTGTAGATGTCAGTTACACCATGATTTCTATCATACACATTGATTATATGTGTTACATATGATTTTTAATGTCTTATGTCCACTCTCATAACACAACATCACAACAATCAATCGCCTTGTATTACTTGTGAAATATTAGAAATTCTAGATGTCCAAGTACTTGTTCAGGTACATAGCAGATCCTTTTATATTTCAGGCGAGATGTAGTATCAAGCATTGTGGAGAGTGTTTCTTTCTAATAACCGTATAGTACTTTCGATCGTATGTGACATCTTTGGATGTTGGAGTATGATACTGTACATTGTAAATAGCCTTACCATTTCTTATTGGAAGAACAGATGCACATTATATAGTACATTATGAATTTTAAGACAAATTAAGAGAGAACATAAAAGATGCATATACCCTAATTTTATTTTCTAATCAGACGTTATCATCAACGTGATTAATAGTGATTGGTTGATAAATGGAAAGTATTTAATGTAAAATTGGTTTTTGTCCTCTAGGATGTATTATATTTGAGGACAAATTTTGAATGCTAGAATATACTTTATTACAGGACGGAGGGACTAGTTAGCATTGTTCTCATTTTGTGGAAAATTGAAAATACAACTAGCAGTATGCTTACTCCTACATACTCTCCCTGTTACATAATTTTGTAATTCTAGGATTAAAAGTTTTATTAAATTATCATCACTCTCATGTTCCAAAGCTTTATACTTTTGTGTCCCTACCCTTCATCAATGTACATACAACACCCAATCAAATCAGCAACTACACCACGTCTAGTGACGATGTAAGTCATGCAAGAACTTTGATGTATTCCCTCCACCCATGAAAGAACGTAGTTTTAGACTTTCGAACTTTGTCCCAAAGAGAACACAATGGTAGATATAGTGTGGGACCCACTCAACAAAAAAATCCACGGTGTCTCCATGCCTCTCCTATATGTAGATCATTCTCGTCTACACACACCTCCCATTATAAATGTCCATGCAGCCCGAGGCACGACGGCCCGACACGAAGCCCGCAATTTTGGCCTGGCCCAAGCACAGCATGGCCCGATGGTCAACGGGCCCGGGCTGGCCCGGCCCGAGGGAGCAGGCCGTGCCTGGGTCGCTGCTTAGGCCCATGGACTGGCACGGCATGGCCCGACCTTCAACGGTTGGCCCGGCAGCGGCCCGGCTTCCCCCCTAACCCCCAGTCCCCCTCCTCCCCAAGGCCCAGCGCGAAGCGGCCCAGCCCCAACGGCTCCCCGCCTCCCCCCTCATATATAAGTGGTAGGCCACAACGCCCTCTCCCTCACCCCGAACCCTAGTTCATTTCACCCGTCGCGCCGCTCTCGTCTCGCCTCGCGGCTCGCGCCTAGCGCCCTCGCCCTCGCTGTCTCGGCTCCGTCCTCCCTGACTTCGGTGAGGTGATCTCGACAATCCGCCTACCACCAGTGAGCAGCTCCCTACTCCTCCTACCTGATCCCCTCCCTCTCCGCCTCTCCCTTCTCCCTATCCCTATCTCCCCTCTAGATCTCGGTGATTATGTGAGTTTGTGTCCCCGTCTGCCTCTCCTCTGCCGCTCGTCATCCTTCTAACTGGTGTGTCGTCTTCTCTGGGTGGCCCTCGTCTTCTCCGGCACTTGGCTCTGGTTGCGCAGGTACAACCCTAACCCTAACCCTAACCCTCCTCTTCTTCCATTGATGATTGATCTATTCTGATCTATTCTTTTCCTCCTCCATCTCTTTGCGCAGGTCGGTAGCCGATGTGTCGTCCTCTAGCTGTGGCATAGAGCGACCAAGGTGGCCCCACGCACCGTTGAGGAACGGTGCTGGAGAGCCCTCCGCGGTCAAGGGTGCCATGGCTGGTGCTGATGATGAGATCGCCTGACCTCTCACCGGCAACGACGATCTGATCATGGCAGGCCTAGCCCCTGAGGACGACGACGACACCCATGAGGACGCTGCTGCCTTGTTCGGTATCAATGTTGGTAGCGACTCTGCTGCTCCGATCAATCTAGACGACGGCGGTGGTGAAGGGGCGATGGCGACTGGGTCCCTAGTCTGCTCCAATGGCTCAACTCCATCTGTTGCTAGTACTGGTATCTCTTCTGGATCTGGTGTTGGTAAGCGTAAATTTGTTGTGTGGGCTGATTTTGATGAGATCTATGAGACTGTGAATGGTAGGCAAATCTGCACTAAAGCTACCTATAAAATATGTAAGCATACTTTGTCTGCTAGATCTAATGCTAGCACTAGGCACTTGAAGAGGCACCAGAAATCTTGTAGGCACAAAACTGATCAAGTTGCTAGAGTTCAGTCTAGGATTGTTTACAATCCTGATGGTTCTGTGCATAACTGGGACTATAAACCTGATGTTGCTAGATCTGAATTGTGTCGCTTGATTGCTAGGCTTGATTTGCCGTTAGGTATTGGTGAGACCGAGGCCTAGGAGGATTATATTGTCCGTGCTCATAACCCTAGGTTTGTTAAAGTATCTAGACAGTCCACTACTAGAGATATGAGTAAACTGTTTACTGAACATCGTAATATGCTTAAGAATTATGTGTTGTCTGCTGCTTTCTCTGTTGCTCTAACATTAGATATTTGGTCTGATAATGCTAAGGATGATTACATTAGTGTTGTTGCTCATTTTGTGAGTGCTGATTGGGAGTTACAGAAAAAGGTTATTGGGTTTAGGTTGACTGAGGTGAAACATACTGGTGAAAATATTGCTGAAAGAGTTGCTTGTGTGGTTGAGGAGTTTGATCTGATTGATAAGGTTTTCTCTGTAACTCTAGACAATGCTTCTTCTAATGCTAAGGCTATGGAAACTTTGACACCTATGTTTGCTAGTTATTTAGGTCCTGATCCTACACTTGAGCCTGTTGATCCTTCTAAACGTAAGTACAGTCTTATGCATCAATGTTGTACTTGTCATATCATTAATCTGATTGTAAAATCTGGTTTAAAGAGGTTTAAATCTTACACAGAAGATTTTAGAACTGCTATTAACTTCTTAAATTCCTCTAATAAAAGAATTGCTATGTTTAAGAACTACTGTACTACTAAGGGTGTTAGACCTAGAAAGTTTGACTTAGATATGGATGTTAGATGGAATGCTACATGTCTTATGCTTAAACACTTGATTCCATATAAGCATGTTTTTCTATGTTAATTAATTCCAATTATGGCTCTGAATTATTGTCTGCAAGGCATTGGTATATAGCTGAAAAGATATTCGAGTTTCTGGAACTATTTTATGACTCCACTGTTGTTCTTTCTGATGTTTACTATCCAACTAGTCCACTTATCCTGTACCATATGCTAAAAATTACTTCTCATTTACATGCAAGTGAAAAAGATCAAAATCTAATTGCTGTTGTATATCCTATGAAGCTTAAATTCCTTAAATACTGACAGCATATACCTCTATTATATTCATTTGTATTCATTCTTGATCCTAGAGCTAAGATGAGAGGTTTATTTAGACCTGGGATTACTTAAAGGATTACTTAAAGAGAGCACTGGTTGTGATTATACTGATGTAAAAACTGAAATTTATAAGTTATTTAACAAATATGAGAGAAAGTTTGGTGCAGCTAGGACTCAAAGAGCTGCACAGCCTGCAAGCCATACAGGTAAGAAAAAACAGGCATAGGAAAGAATCTTTGGAGGCTCTAGATCTGTTGTTGGTCTTTTCCCTACTTGTGCCCCCACTTTATCTTCATCTGGTTGTACTGCTTGTGAGCTCTCAGTTTATCTGGACAGTGACAATGTCACTGCGTATGAGGATGATTTTGATTTACTTCTCTGGTGGTGTGACCACAAACTAACCTATATAATCATATCTACACTAGCTAGAGATATTATATCTGTTCCTGTTTCTACTGTCTCTTCGAAATCATGTTTCAGCTTGATAGAAAGGATAATTGAAGAGCGACGATGCCGCCTATTGCCTGAAACTGTGGAGATGCTGGCCTGTATAAAGGATTGAGAGTTGAGAGAAAGAAGATTACAACATGATGTTGACAACCAAGAGCTGGAGGACTCATTCAAGAATCTATACCTTGATGAAGATGCAGATGGGGCTACTAGTACTGCTGGTTCATATGGGGCTAGGACTGGTTCATCTGGGGCTGGTACATCTAGGTCTGCTGGTAATTAGTGTTGAGAGAGGAGAGAATGCTCTGTTAACCTGTTATCTCTATTTTGTATCTGTCATCTGTGACTGTGACTTGAGACCTTTGAACAATGATGGAAGACTTAT